TAGTAGGTAGTAGGTAGTAGGTAGTAGGTAGTAGGTAGTAGTAGTAGTTGTAGTAGTAGTAGTAGTAGTAGTAGGTAGTAGTAGGTAGTAGTAGGAGTAGTAGCAGCTGTTGAGAGTCTGTAACGCGGAAGTTTTGCACCCTAAACTTCCTTTGACTGTTGTTCAAAAGAAAACCCTTTTGAAGGTGCTTGACATTCTTTTCAGGCAGCGACTCAGAGAGCTGGCTCGTGGCAAGGACTGGGAGGTCGGGAGGGTTGGTGTGGGCTGAGCATAAAAGAAGCGGTTAGGGAGAGAAGAACACATGAAAGAAAGAAACACGATCAGCAAGAAGAAGAAGAAGAAGCAAACACAAAACGAACCAGGGTACCACCAAATGACGTTGACAAAGTCATGGCGACTTTGCAAGACGATGCCTTACCCATTAGGCAATCGGCACCCTAATATTTTTTACAAGGCACAATAGATCGACACCAACGGAACACGCCAGTTTTTGCATGTCTTGAGCACACTAGCCTTGAGAAAAACATGGAAAAACTTAGCGCACCCAGGACTTAAAACACGTATTAGTCGGCCTGAGAGACGAACGCATCTTGACACCAGGATGTGCTTGACCTTTTCAGTGACTTGGCCAAGCTTAAGTTCTTTTTGCGAAGATTTGAAGAGGGCGCTTCAATTCTTTTTCAATCTCCCTGAAGTTGAAATCTACACACTTACATGCAGTTGGCTTCCCTATGTGATTTATCGAAATTCTTTCCATCCCAGCTGAGGCTACACCGGTGGCTTTGCTGTTGCAGCAGCTCTGGGAGGAGCCAAAAGCACACGTGCGGTGGATGCAGCGCGAAAGGCAGTGGAGGCTCCCAGTTGAAGTCAATCAACCCCATTGGGTTGTGGTTTTCTTACATTTTTGGTTTTGCTCTAGATTAGACAAACTTTTTGATCTCGGTTTCTCAGAACCTTGGGTTGAAGTCATAAAAGGCTGACGGTCCGAGTTTCTTCCCAGCAACCCTGTTTTTTTTGGTTGTTTTGAAGAACAGAGGCAATTCCAGACTTGGAAAACATGACCTCACTGGTTTCATCTCATATGCTCCAGGCATGCCAACGAAACTACGAGCTCAATGGGCTGACGGCAAAGGCCACGATGCAGAACTGCGCGATTCGTAGCAATGGAATTCGAGTTGTTGGGGATGGGTCAAATTGGGTCAAAATCAATCACCGAAAAGTGTGGTATAGGTTGAGATGTCACTACTTAGTCACTAGTGCATGTCTGGTTCATTCTCGGGAGTCAACCTGCAAACCCACGGAGTCACCCAACTCGTTGGATGTCCAAGGTTTGCAGCCTCTCGGAAGGTGGGATCCAGCATGCGCCACCCGGTCTGAAGGAACAATCAGCAAGACCAACTGTGGGGTGGGGATTGTGGGGTTGGAGAAGAAAGTTAGGACTGTGGGGTCAGGTCTATCATGCATTTGCAGGCTGTTGAAGGAAGTTAGGACTTCTCTGGAGGTGCATAGAAAGCTATGGCAAGGGTGCCAATTGTCCAACACTGCCATCCAAAAGCCACCGGCGTCGTAAAACGTTGACCAACACTGCCGTCTTCCGTCCCGCAGTTTGGAAAGCGGTCCTTCCCTGACGTTCCTTCAGCTCTGGAGTGTTCCAGACGCCAACCAGGAATGAGATATTACAAGTAAGAAATCAAGTCCGGGAATCATTCATGTAGGCTAGCCAGTGTATATGCCAGGAACTCTCCGGAAGCCTTCTGGCTTCATAAAGCAGCATCCGAACTCGACCTGCCGATGTCTGAGGCTCCACGTGCAGGACTGTTGGGAGTTTCTGCAGAAAGCGGCGAGACGTCGAATGAAAGCTGACATCGTGGGCCGCCGAGCTGTGAGGTCATCCCTGCTTTGAGCTGCCTGTTCTGAGCTGTGTGCTAGCTACTGTAAGCTGCCACGCTGCTTGTTGACATCATTCACAGACATGAAGAATCTTTACCCACAGAAATGGAGTGGAATCTCTAGATACAACCGGGCTTAGGTGGTCCTGGACCCACCGTCGATGGCACCACGAGCATCAGCACGACCAAAGGCCACTGTCATTTGTTGACGCGACCTGGACCACAGATTCAGTACTTGCGATCGAGATCCTGGCACATCAGTTTCAACAGGCTTCTGCCACTGCCGCGGACACCACAATTCCCCAGGAAAGAGCCGATTATGATATATTGCAAAGAGGGCTGACCGGGCTGGCTATGACTGACCAGTGGCCATGAGGGCTTCCACGCATTTGAAAAGACACATTTGTTTCAGACACGAGCCTAGGATTATCAATTATGTGTTTTCCTGAGCCCAAGCCTGCCTTGCCAAGCCGAAAGTTTGCTGCCAGGCTTTGAAGGCCTATGAGACCTTGAACCAAGGGGCGCTGAGGCTTCTTCGACCGGGTGGGGAGTCTCAGTTTGCCGGGAAGGTCTCAGTGGGTGGACGTGGACCAAAGCGGCTTTAGCATTCGGCTAAACTCTGGAAAGCTCTGGAACTGAGCGGGCTGAAGGCACATGAAGGTGCTTGGTTTGAACCTGAACCCATCCAGCCAATGCAGACGCGCACAAAAGGACCCAAAAGGGTCTCACACAATCACAAAAGGTTCATGCTTTGTTTGCGTCGGATTGGAGCAGCTGTGTTGGCTCCGTTGACCAATTAGAGTTTCCTTCTGCGCTTTTGGCAGTGTATGTGTTTTGTTCCGAGGTGGTCGCCTCATTAGCTGCTCCTGCAGCAGGGACCGCCCAGACGGAGAGTTGTGCAGTATCAATTGGCAGTAGTACAATGGCAGTCGTGCTCTCGATGAGATCACCCCCGCCACAAGCGAATTGGAAAGCATGCCTAGCCTCCAAGACCACGATGCCTCACAAACCCTTCTTCCTAGCAATGCTTACCAGCTGCAACTTCGACCTGGAATGCCCAAGAACTGTTTGGAGTTTCCAATGGTCATTGATTAGTGCAGAAGATGGGGAATTATGGCGCCCCCTGCAGTACATGAGTTTGTGAGGGTTGAAGCAGCCCTGTCATATATATATATAACTATAATATATGCATGTTTTCTGACATTGTTTTCTTTTCCTTTCACCAACACTATTGGATTTATTCCTGACTCCATTCTGAGGCTCTCACATCACTCGCCAAGACCTCTTGAATGTTGTCCAGGTGGACCTCTCCTCTCGCTTTCTCAAACACGCGGGTGGAATGAACCATTCTCAACTTTTCAACTAGTTGGAGGCCATCCCTAGTAGGTAGGCGACCATCGCTAGTAGGTTGGAGGCCATCGCTAGTAGGTTGGAGGCCATCGCTATTCGGTTTCAGGCCATCGCTAGTAGGTTGGAGGCTATCGCTAGTCTTTAGGTTGGAGTCCATCGCTAGTAGGTTGGAGGCAT